ATAGGAGTAGCAAATCATAAGATTTTTCACATACACCAACAATCAAATCAAAATCTAGAACTAGGGTTCATCAAACTACGTGAACATAACTAATCCATACAGAGGTGAGAGAATACAATACAAGGCTTAGAATCTTCATCTTCTAGAGGATGATCTTCAAGCTCCAATGGTGATCCAAGAACCCTCCTAGGTCACTCTCTCTATAATAGCCCTTTTGAGTGTTTGTGGGTGAAAACCCAACTCTCCCCTCTCAAAACCTGTTGCATAATATTTATACCCACAATAGTGCAGAGTTCACCCACCCAGACAATGAACTTTGTATCAGCCAGTCAACTTTGCTGGTTGCTACAAATGTGTAATATTCACAGTTTTGGTGCAATTTTCACCCCATGAGACATTGAAAATCATCCCAACTCGTGAACATTACACATACTCCACTTTTTGGATTGTTTTGATCTCCAAATGTCTCAAAGCTCGTTTCAAAGCTTCCCCCACGTACTAGGACCTTATATGACAAAAGAAGCACAACCTATCATAAAATAGGCCGAGAAACGATGATCACCAAGTCTAACACTCAAGATATGAAGGGTAAAACATGTACATTAAACCTGAATCAATTTTCATACTCAACTTACTTTAAATTGCCAGCCTCTACGGTGATACATGATCTACGGAGGCTAGTGTAGTGGGTATGAAGGATGTCCACGTCATGAGGCTAAAAACCACTCGATATGTCTGGATACCATGTCTTCCCCTATCTCTCGTGAACTTTTAAACTCTGTAAATAAGTCTCAATGCTTAAAAGTTTTATATGGGGTGAATTATATCATTAACAGTGAAAATCCTACCCGAAAAGCAAAAGAAAGCTTATGTAACACATGAAGTGTGGGGTAAAATCATTCATTGAACAAGGGAAAATCAGAGCAGTTCAACTGAGCATCATTTCATGACTGTACAATGTTACTTATCAAGTATAATCTTCCCGAATGAAGTGTCATTTGAAATTTGTGCTTTGAGGGTATAGGAAAAGCTTTTGACTACCTCTATAACATTGATCCTTCGCACTAATCAAGGATAAACAGTTAAACAAAACTTATGTGAATCCTAAGTTACATAAATTACTTTTGCTCAATAATGGTAGTAAGAAACAAAACGCAATTGTACTAAAAGGTGCAAAAACACGAGCAATGCAAAATAGAGCAAACTCTCTTTGTCAAATAAAGGTAGAGATGTTCTTAAACTAAAAGTAAAGTTTGCAAATAGCTTCACACCATGAATTTTTAAACTTCATGCTAAGTTGATTATTCATGATTGGTCAAAGTATGTCAGATTGCCCTTAAGGGACATATATCTCACTGCATGGTCTATGTCTCTAAGTAAGAGGATGATGCTCTAAGTAAGAGGATTGATCATGTAAGTTACATATGATCCACTATCTACGATCGAAAGTTACATGTTATCCTAGCAAGATGTCTAACGATCCATAGAATTTTTTGTATGGTTTGCTGGGTAACAAACAATGTTCAAGTGTGGAGTTTTTTATAACATGTAAAACATACTATTTTAGACTCTTGTGTTCAAGGCATGTTTTACATTATCTACGCATATTTATTGTCATATTAACTAAGACTTTCTTGGCAATTGCTCAAAGGTGTGTAGCAATTTTTGTGAATGCTTCATACTTTTTATGCCTTTTTGGGTAATGTTTCATGGGGTTTCGGGTGAAAGCATCCTAATGGACACCTTGTACGAGCCAGAGACAACAAAATCCAACTATAGTTCAAGCCCAGTACTGATGACCCATTTAGTCGATCAGAAGTCAAAATGGTGACAAAGGCGCCATTTTCCAAAAGGCCCCCAAATGAGTTTGTTTTTACTCCAAGATCCTTTACCTGGAGGCTAAGATAGAGATATTCTAAAGATATGCAAGCTGAAGACTTTCCCTCCTACAAACCTCTAACAAAATATATGATGGAAGGACTATAAATTGATCCCCTCGACCACCACTTAAAGAGACATCTTTACTAAGGTTTACTCTACCGATAGAGAAACTCATAAGAAGCATTGATCAGCAGGCTCAGTGTCAGAATGACGCCTAAGGCTCCATTTCTATGGTTAGGCTGCCATTTTACCAACTTGTGTACATGCTCCCTCTATCCGTATGAAGGCGAAGCAGCAGCTCACGACTCTTCTTTCTTCGACGGCGGTGCATCATTCTAGCTCAAGATTGAGAGCCCTTACGAGCTCTTTGAATGAGAGTTGTTCAAATCACATCATGGCTATGAGGTGGGTGCCTACAGACAAAGTTCTCATACCACTGTAAGAAACATGAATCTTAGACACCCACGATTACTCGTAACCAGATATAGTAGAAGGGATTTAGAAGATATCTTAGGGATTGAGAGAGAATAGGATTCGGGGATAATCTGTGCAATATTATTCTTATTAATTAATGATCTTAGCAAATATCAAAGTACATATTTATAGGCATTAACTGAAATCTTAATACTAAACCTAAATCCAGTGAATGACTTAATAACCAAGCAATTAAACCCTACTGATCTAATATGAAATCTCCACAATTACCCCTATTTAACAAATATCCATAGCGATAATAATAAGAGAAAAACATCATGAATTTCAATAAACAAATAATAACTTTATTTAATTCACAATCAACCAATTCCATCATAACTCCATATTTTAACCAAAACTTTCAATGTTGTTCAATTCAAATTGAGCGAGCAACCACCTGTTATTATATTGGTGTGTAGCTAGCTAGGGTTTGGGAAGGAAGCAGTCAACCAAAGAAACGAGAAACAGTGAGGAGAAAGCCTAAAGACACAGAAGAGAGAGAGAGAGAGAGAGAGAGAGAGAGAACAGCACATCCAGATACAGAGAAGAAACTAGAATAACCCACACAGAAAAAAGCATCTGGCATGGTTGTTTGGATACAGTATATTGGTGGGCATGCACATTGTGATGATGGTTAATAAACCAAACACTGTACTGTACGTACAGCATTAGTTAGAATATATGATCATGTCATCAACCCAACAGAACAGTGTGCACTCATCATACTCATACTCATACATAGAAGAAGAAGAAGAAGAAACAAACTTGGTGCATCGTGATACTGATGATGAAACATAAACGTACCAGAAATATGTACAAACCCACACAATTGCCAAACTAGTACGAGCTAGCTAGTCATGCATATGAGATTGGCCCCTTTGGCAATCAATCCCCAAAAGAAAAAAGAAAAAAAAAAACGAAAAATGAGAAGAACACTGAACACTGCTACTTTACTCACTTACCTGCCCGGCTTGCATGAAACTAACACCACATCAGAAGATTATGATCATTATAAGTTTATCATTCCATTTGATATGGAGTTTATTGGTTAACCGAAAAATCGATAAATTGATTAACGGATTTGCTTGTTTGATTTGGTTTATGGATTTGAGACCCAAATTCCAAACATAATGGGTTTTAGTCAAGTCCATTGTTTGTTGTTGTGTGTTAAATCCGTGAGGTACACGAATTTGTCTTTTAATCATTCAAATTCGCGGAACCCCAGACTTGTAAATCTGAAATGTTGGAGTAGGATTTGTAAATTCTTATAACTAGTTATATATGTAGCAATGCAAGCAATAAACTCTTCAAATCCATAACGCAATAAGTCCATAAATTCCAAAAAAATTTTTTACCTAAAATCCTCAATTTTCAACTCCAACAAGCAAACGACCCCTTAATTAGGGTGTTGTTGGTTTCTTATCGGTTTCTTCGGTTCTCACCGAAACCGGAACCATTAAGATACTAAAAGATTTCAAAAGAGCAAACTAATACCATTCAAGTTCTTATCCATTTGGTTTCGTTAAAACCAAAAAATCAAAGCCCAACTTACAGCACTATATCATATATTTATTGGTTATTATCAAACAGTTTCTGTCATGAATGTGAGGTCTTTATGTTGGTAAACGGTATATGATTCATAATTGAACATCTCCTAATAATTCAAATTATTGGAATCAATTGGTTTTTGACATGGTATTAGAGCTTTCTGAGACCAAGAGGTCTTCTGTTCAAATCCTAATAACCAATATTTAATTTGTTAAACACATAATGTTCGGACCTGTGTCTATGCAAACTCCAAACCTATCTGAAAGTGGCTCAAATTTAAAGAGGTGTGTTAGTAGCGGATTTTTACTCTTTAATTATAGGGTCTAGTTGATATTCTTGATTTTTACTCTTTAATTAGTTGGTTATTATCAAACAGTTTCTGTCATGAATGTGAGGTCTTTATGTTGGTAAACGGTATATGATTCATAATTGAACATCTCCTAATAATTCAAATTATTGGAATCAATTGGTTTTTGACATGGTATTAGAGCTTTCTGAGACCAAGAGGTCTTCTGTTCAAATCCTAATAACCAATATTTAATTTGTTAAACACATAATGTTCGGACCTGTGTCTATGCAAACTCCAAACCTATCTGAAAGTGGCTCAAATTTAAAGAGGTGTGTTAGTAGCGGATTTTTACTCTTTAATTATAGGGTCTAGTTGATATTCTTGTAGCGATCCCCCCCCCCCCCCCCCCCCCCCCCCCCCCCCCCCCCCCCCCCGAATTCATGGGAAATGCCTCCTTTAGTCTTCAGGTATTTCGTATGTGAACTCGAATGGATTGAATAAAAATGAAGTGATGTTGGGATGAGGCTAAAACAAGGCTAACAAAACAATTTCAAAAGACTACTAAAAACGGTATTATTCATCTACGAAGTGGCAAGTACGTACTCTCAAGTCAGTAATAATTATATAAGGCAGGCTCTGATCATCACCACCTTGGTCCTTGACAGCTTCAAAGGGTCAGAAGAGGTGAGAGAGAACACTAATAAGACACTAAGGCCAAAATGCAAAAAAATGTAAAGGTGGGTCATGACATCAAACAGAAGACTGATGCCATCTCAGATTTTCTCCCTATTTCATCTTACGGTCAAACAAACAACCCTAGTATTTAATACCTCATCACATGCTTTAAGGGTTCTCTAGGAACTGCAAAATTCAGGCCCAAATTCAGCTACATAACCATATGTGAATTACTCTATCCCCCTTTGAATTTGAAATCTAAACAAAATACCAAACAAATCCTTTGTCGAACTCTCGTCGTCTTCGCCATCACTCTTACGTCTGTCTGTGGAGCTCCCCCAGAATAAGGGAACGAGGGAGAAGGACAGTCAACTTTTTGGCCCCTGTAAAACCGAGGTCAACATTCAGTTCGACCCTGGTCAAAAGGAAATTTAAGTTTGACCAGGACCAACTCGAAAGTTTACTTTGTTTTGATCAAGTGTTAAACGAAATTGATTTTTCGTTCTAGCCAACAGTCATCTGAAGGGGATCTTCAGTTCTACCTTGGTCAAATAAAAATTCTAATTGGTTCAGTCGATTATTTTCAATAATTATTTAATTTAAATTAATTAGCCATTGATTTTTTTAAAAAAATATATAAATAATTTATGGATGCTTTAGGATATTTGAACATTTAGGTTTTTGTTATTGAGTATATGTTAAGAAAAAAGAAAATCAAATGTATAAAGAATCTAAAGATCATTTGAACGTTTTTAAAGAGGACACCCTATCAACATTTACCAACTTCCATCTTTTTCCACCCCAAATGGCCTCTCAATAATATTGGAGCACATCCACAACAAGGCCTCTTTCTTCTTCTTTCCTTGTCCACAAAACAAAACAAAAAGAAAAGAAGTTCATTATGTGGCTCCTACCCCAAGAAAGTCAATGAATGGTGGTGCAATTGTCTCAAAATGCCCACTTCCACTACTGTTATGATTATTACTATTACTAGTAGCAGCACCTTTCCCTTGCTGATCTCCTGATGAAGAACAAATATTCACCACATGGTTTAAGGAGTAATTTGGCTGTTGCATACCCACATTCATATCACAGTTGCTGTAGCTGATGTTGCCGTTGTGGGGAGATGGAGAAGAAGAAGAAGCAGAAGGAGAAGAAAGGTTGAAATGGTGATCCCAACAAGATCTGGTCTGGCTCAACATCCCCATTATCACCATGTCATTGTTCTTGGGACCTGCCCCCACAAACACATAACAGTTAAAAAAAAAGAAACAAAGTAACCCTAGCTAGCTGTTTTTCAAAGAAAGACAAACTTTCAAATCCCCAGATTCATTCACTCAACCACAGAAGAAACTGTTTCAAGGACCAACATACATGGAGATGAGAATATGATTATCACTCGTCATTTTCAATTGCATTTTGAGAGAGAGAGAGAGAGAGGGTGAAAGAGAAGAAGAGACCAATCAAGGAAGCAGGCACATAAACCCACAAGGGAGAAAAATGTTCACATATTTTAGGAAGCAGAAAAGACAGCACAAGTTTTGGTTTGGTAGTCATACATATGAAAGGAAAAGGGGGGAAAGTAATAAAAAAGACATTGCTACATAGAACATGGAAATGGAAGGGAAACAAGTGGGGGAAGGAAGGAAAAAGACATACCAGGAAAGAAATCAAAGGTTGTCTGCTGCTGAGCACAAACTCCATTAATGTGCTGAGGGGCACCTTTGATTATTCCTCCATCTCCTCCTCCTCCTCCTCCTCCTCCATTTGCCCCATTAATGAAGTTGTCTCCAATTTGGTAAGGAGAAACCACATTAGCACCAACTTCTGTTCTACCAGCTGAAGCAGTAGGACTGTTGCTTTGCACCCACTTCCTCCTCCTATAGGCGCTTGACTGCTCCCTATACTTCCTAGCCATAATCACATGCCAATGATTCTTCACAGCATTGTCAGTCCTCCCTGGGAACAGCCTGGCTATCATTGCCCATTTGTTCCCATAAACCCTATGAGCCTGCATTAGCCTCTCTTCCTCATCTTCACTGAATGCCCTCCTGTTTATCCTTGGATCCAACTGGTTAAACCACCTCAATCTGCAGCTCTTCCCTAAAACCCACAACCAAAAAAACAAAAAAGTTACTGCCTTTTCTCACAAAAAATTGAAAAAGAAACAAGGGTTGTTTTTTTTACAGCAAAAAGAAGGAACCTTTTTGGGATTTACCTGATCTGCCTTCCAACTTCTCAGCAATGAGGTTCCAATTCTGAGGGCCATAGAGGGCAACAAGTTCCTTGAGCTTTGAATCCTCAGCTGGCCTCCAATGTCCCCTTGCACATAGCTTTGACTGCCCACTGCTGTCTCCACACTCCTTGGTCCCATTAGCAACATTGTCTTCATTAGAAATAGTGTATTCAGTGGAGCCCTTGTTGTTGATGTAAGGGAAAAGAGAGGTGGTGGGGAAAGGTTCTCCTCTCCCATAGTTGTTGCTGGGACTGAGAGAAAGGGAAGCAATGTCTACATTCACCATGGACATTGCAGAAAGGGAAGAGAAAGAACAAGGAGATTATGAAGAAGAAGAAGAAGAAGAAGAAGAAGAAGCAATGTCATTTGCCTTGAATGGTAGCAATGGTGGTTGTGGATATATAACAATTTCAGGCCATGGCTTCATTTTTTTGTTTTCCCTCACTTTTTTCCTGGGGAGAGGGTTCTGTTTTGGGGTCTCTTTGTGGTCTGACAGATGCTGTTATGCAACTGTTATAAAGTCATTGCTATGGGGGACTAACTTAAAAGGAGAGATGAGAAGCAAGCAACCCACACAGGTTTGGACAGGAAAGGAGATGATCAGAAGGACATGTGGATCTGCTATGATAAATGTGTTAAGAGAAACAGGCTTAAAACAGCAAAATCAGCAACAGTTGTTAGAAAGAGCAGCAATTCTTTTGCCCCCAAAGAAAACAAAAACAAGTTCAAACAGAATCAGAGAGGGAAGACAAGGAGGAGGAGGAGGAGAACTGAAATACTTTGTGAAAGAAAGAAGCTAAAGTAGTTAAATGAGCTCTAAAAATCTCATAAAGTATCTACCTCCTTAAAATACCTTTTTCCTTTTTTTGGTCTTTCACACGTGTGAGAGTTGAGAGGACGGGGGAAAACAAAACAGAAAGAAAGGGGGACTTAGGAGTAGGTGGAGTGTCCCTTGGCACAGTGACACAAGGGAAAATAAAGGACTTGTAAAAGAAAAGGGGGAAATGGTAAAAAACCAAAAACAGTAAAAAACCTAGCTAGCAACCCTCTTGCCCTTTCACCTCTTTCCTTTCTCCCCAAACCTCCTGCAGCTCCCCATTCCTTTCACTGTTCTTTTTTCACTTCCCTACCTTTTCTATCTTTTCTTTTCACTACTCTGATCCCACATAGTTATTAACATATCTCTCAATCACCATCACCTGTTCTCTGATGGGCTTTTTTCAGGTTTTAGTTTTTATATTGGGTTTTTTTAGGGTTTGCCCTTTAACCTGGGTTTCAGTTAGCCACCTGAAGTTGACCCAACCACCAATCATCATCTTCCTCTCTCTTCATTTAACTCTGTTGTAAATTACTTGCATGGTCACCGAACTTTAGGTCTGATTTCAGATTAGTAGCAAATTTTGAATTGAAATATATTCGTTCTTTGTCCATCATTCATTTGGCATATGTCTAGAATGAGAAGAAACCCGATTCATGGTAGAATCATCTCTCCTTACAGACAGAGAAAGTAGCAAGTATCTTTACTCTTTGCTTTGCTTACTTTGTTTAACTACATATTATGTTAGCATACAAGCGATAGATGCACATAATAAAAACTGAAAACTCACGCCAAGGATTAAAATGTAAATGGGGTTAGAGTTTGATGACCATCAAGCAATTTCCTATACAACTTTTCTTGGACCCTATCTCCCACCCAACCAACCATTGTCTCTTCTTGTGCGGACAAATTACAAGAGGCCAAAGAATGGGGTCATTTGCCACTTTTTTATTGGTTGCTGGTCTTATAATTAATGGTTCCAATCCCCATCCATCTCTTTGTCCTGCACAATCTTATGGAAATCTCCAACTGCAACAAACTGGGGCGTGTATATATAGATGACTTCTGTCAGTAAGATTTTCAGATGTTACTATGAATAATAGGAAAAAGGGTTCCAATGATCATGTGGGATATACATTTTCCTTCTTGTTGTGGTCCTTTTGCTTGTTGCCTTTTCTTTACACCTTGGCACCTCATTGATTGCTTATATGGAGGCAATATATGGGAAAGTGTTAGTATAAATCACATTTTATTTGAATGTACTTGTCACTTGAATGATAATACCTAGCTCATTGGAGGAAATCACAAACTAGCTAGCTAAAAAAGAAGGCCCCGGAACAACAAGAGGTTTTGAGAGATGCATTGACACATACACACTCTTGTCCATTTCAGACATTTCAGATCAAAGTCTGCATGGTGCGAGGCCGATCCAAGGGAATGAACAATTCGGGGTGTTGAAAGTTGAGTGATTTTGTTTGGTGGCATAGTCGGACTCTAAATTGACTCGAATTTCTTAAAAAAAATTAATAATACTAAAATATTTGTATCTAATTGATTTTGTGTTGATTGGGGTCTTTACGCACAACTAACACTAGCGAGCGAATGGACTCATAAGTTTCAACAATCATGCTAAAGTCATGCATCTAATATATAATAATAGATATTTGTAAAGTCTTTCTTGTTGGTCGTTTAGAGACAAATAATTATATGTTGAAATACTCAAAAGCTTTAGAAACACGAATAAACATTACCTATGTTAAATATACATCACTTTTGTTTTTCATGTTTGAAAAAATAATAAGGCACTCTTTATTTTTGGTTGGCTACCCGGAGGCCATCGTGGAGCAAACAATGTGTCAACCAAACCCCTAAGACTTATCTTTGGAAGTTGCAACTGTTTGTAAACTACTACCATAATTTTGTGCAATAGAACCATTACCACGAGGTTTATTGAATTCGGTTTTGATAGCTTCATTTTTCTTCTTATTAGATTCATATTCAGTCACATGTTTCAACAAATTTTGGCGAACATCATGAGGCACCTTTGGGCATATAGTATTATCGCCACTAATTTTGGCTAAATGTTTTTTTTTTTCATTCTGTGATTCCTCCACGCCAATAAATTTTTTCACAATGCATGTAGGTGTGTACCTCAACTTTTCCCTCAAGCGGATGGATACAATGATTCCCGCAAAAATTACAAAACACAAATCGACCTAAATATCCTAACAAATCAAACTGTTCTCATATACTCTATTGCCCCATCTAACAACTAGAGTCAGCAATTCAATTCACCAACTTCTAATTAAAGACAAATATAAAGAGGAGTTTGAGCTTCAACGAACGAGAGATAATAAAACCATCTTAGTTTTTGGTCATCCCACATCAACCACAGACACCATTTCACTACTGAGATGAGTAGAGATGGGTGATAGTACCTGGGCATGGATAGAGTTAGTAACTGCACGCACACAATAAATTATTTTTTTACACTTGAGTACTAAAAATATCGATGGAAAATTATATTTTGGAACCGGAAATTTGTTTCTTTCGTTTTGGTACCTAAACTTTTTCAAATTTACAAACAGGTCCACTACTTGTGACATGCTTTATAAACTTGTGGCATGCTTTGTAGACTTGTGCATGCTTTGTGGTTGTGGCATGCTTGAGGAAGTTGTGACATGCTTTGAGGTTGTGGCATGCCTTGAGAAGGTTGTGGCCAGCTTTGGAGGTTATGGCATGCTTGGAAGAGGTTGTGGTTTGGTTCGTGTCCCCCTCCTTTCCTTCCTCCCCTTCGCTAATTTTTCCTAATATCAAGCGTGCCCCGCCTTCCCCTCCCCCCTCATTAATTGTGGTCAACTCATTTAAATAGAAAAGTCATCCAAACAAAATGTACTGATTGGCTGGAGCTAGTGTTAGCACCATACTAACAAAAAAAGTGTTAAGCAAACCAATTTAATCCTTGCATAACAATTCTCCTCATGTATCAGCTCATCACTTCCTCGAATTGGCAGCAACTATGAATGTTTGAATCAACATTCATTAATTAAGAACACTCCCAATTGATCCTTCAATTGTCGAATCTGAATCTTCATTTTTGGACCACGAGAATTAAATATCGTGCTAGTCTATATCACATGAACTAGCCTACAACTAATTTATCACTAGGTGAGAGTTTTAGACTTAGACTGGTGAGCGCCTGATGCCTAATTCAGAGTAGATGAATGATCTAGGAATCTAGTTTGTGGACGAGGCGACCGTACCCCTGCTTATTAGATGTCCAATTAGGTCATGCTTGTGGGTAACATGCGTGACCATCGGCTTACCCGACTTGTGTGCGGACGGATAAAATCCGTTTAGAGGAAGTAGCGCATACACCATGTTAGGTAACTCAATTGAGGTGACATTGGGCGACTAACCTAGTTAGAGTGGGGATCGATGCCATGACCATTGGTTCGTTTTCCATCTTAGCGACCTTCGCACCAACCTATAGCTAGAGGGACTCGACCCGAGGAAACCATGTCATCTATAGCGGTCTCCTAACCACTTGGTTGGTTGTTTAGCTAGGTTAGTTTAGGTTAGTTCTATCCCCAACCTTCCGAGTTGATTAGATAGTAGTTCGGAGCGAAGTAATAGTAAGCCTAAGATTCCCTTGCAATATGACCGAGCCACTTTACTACATCTCTAGCTTAATTATACTTGGCTTTGTTAAGAGTGACTAGTGAGGTAGCTCAGTTTACAAATATAAGGCTCACAATAGTGATGCTCGGTTGGGTCTATCTAGAATACTAGTTCTCTAACTTGTAACTCACACGTACATGCTTTAACTCTGTAAGTATCTGCATGTGCACTAGTCTCAATTGTATAAGAGCTGAACAAGTTCTTGCTATATACTTGACTAGGGATGTTTAAGAATTCACATCAATTATGCGATATTCTATGGTCATGATTGTGTTTGTTAAAGCACAGTTTTATGTTAAATACAACAATTGAACAAAGGCGCAAAATATCTTTTATATACATATATCCAGGGTGAAATCCGGAGGTACCGCATACCTTGAGTATGAAAACGCGATCTAGACCTCAAATTCGTTGGATTTTTGGGTTTGATACTATACCCTAACCCTTAATGAGTGAACCCTAGGTCCTAATTATTTAAAGGGCTAATACCACAGGAAATACCAACCTTTCGCGAAAGTGCCACTTATATACCATAGTTATCAAAATGCCAATAGTATACCTATTAGGGGTCTAAGTCATTTGTGTTACGTGAATATTTGTTGACCGTTAGAGGTAACGGTTGACCTAACCGTGGTCAACCTGTCTTTGACTACTGATGAAGTGGCCCCTATGTATCATCCACGTAAGTAAATACAATTTGTTTATTATTTAAATTAATAATTAACATTAAATAAATAAACCCTCCCTTTCATTTTTACACCCATCAGGCGTGCCATTCCCCCACCCTTCCCTGACCTGACCACGACCACCTTCTCTAACTTTGCCTTTTCAATGATGGCGGCTGGCTGCAGTGGAGCTATATACGGCAACGAGGCTGGAGCTTGCCAAGACGATGACGGTTAAGGTTTGGAAGGGCTCGACGGTTGTGAAGATTTTGGAGGGGCACGACAGCAGTAAAAGTTGCCCACGATTTTAGCCATTACCTTCTGTTGAATTCCCTCCAACATCTCAATTATTATAAGTTCCCTCTCCTCTACTATGTAAGAATTGAAAGTCTCGCATATGTTACTTTCTGCTGCATCACACTTACAGTCATGGGACATGAAAGCCCTGCAGCTTCTCAGGTTGTTGCTCCATGAAGTCCTTCAGTAGAGTTGGGTCTTCACCACTTAGCTGGATTTCTTCCATGATCCTTGTGGCTGGTTGGTATGCCACTTGATTTGTACCGTATACTGCACGCCAAAACAGGTTTCGAAAGGTTTGAGGCTTGTGGGTCGGTTTCCAATTGGCAAACACGTGCCTTGCACACTTCCTGTGATGTGCATGAGGCAAGCACCTTGCAATAGCATCGACAAGACCCTACAAAAAAACCATTGCATAATAGTTATTCTACCATCAACTAATCCACAAACAAATATGTAACAAGTTAGTATTACCTTTTGCTGGTCGCTAACAACAGTCCAACCACGACCATCTGAAATGAGTAGTTCCTCTTGTAACGTGCTAACGAACCATCCCCATGAATCGGAGTTCTCGCCCTCTACCACTGTCCACGCTATGGGATACATTCGATTATCCCCATCCTTGGCAATAGCAAAAAGCAACACCCCCTTCACTTCGCCTTTCAAGAAAGCACCATCAAGTGAGAAAATGGGTCGACACCCAGTAGTAAACCCTTTCCTTAACATAGAGAAGCCTACATAAATCCTCTTGAAAAACACTCTATTTGGAATGGTGCATGGGTCGACTTCAAGCACGAACCAACCTATAGGATCCACACGTTGCAATTCAGCTACATACGACCTCAACTTCTTATACAACTGCTTTGCATACAACCGTGCCCTATAACACTGCCTTCTGATCAACTCTACATTATGTTTTTCCCTTATCTCCCTCTTCCTCACTATAATTCAGACCATATGACCCTCTATAAATGGACTCCGGAACTGCCCTCGATGATTCTCCAACCACATTTGCCTCCTCTTCGTACGAGTTGACTTCTTCAGCATGTGACTGGTTGACTTCGTCAGCATGGGCAACAACCCCCTCTAGATTACGGCCTGACGTTGTCCCACTCTGGTAGCTAGAATCCTGCTCAACCTCTTCACCGGAGTCTTTGATATAGGCCTGAACCTTCCTTCTACATTCATGTTGTCGCTTGCGGACACATGCCTTATAGAACTCGTCGTCTGAGGTATGCACGTCGTCATCGTCGTCTTCCTCCGAATCATCATCCACATGTACGATGTCGGCTGCAAATGAGTGCTCGGCCTCTTCCACATCATACCCACCCTCGTTACCACCTTCTTGTAGCTCTTCATTGTCACCCATCTCTCCTAAACCATCAATAACCTGAATAAACATTACAATCTGTCCATTGCGAATTAAGGGAATCAACCCATCCAACACCTCGGCGTCCGACAAAATCTCATGCACCCCTTGCTTAAAAGTAGTATGTGGTGACATGTACCACATTCGTTCTACCCTCTCGTAGTTTAGGTACACCACTCCAATTTGTCAAAGCTCGAAGTAAGATAAAACGTCCATATCTATGTCAAATGGCTCGATACTTCCACCAACGTATCGAGGCACGCCTTGGGTGAAGTCCATTTGACTTCCATGGTGGAAAATCAGCTCAATTATTTCTTCACCGATCCTACAATATAATACTTTAATTGATTCATTTCCCAACCAAATTGTCTACACAAACCGAACACATTCATACTAATATATTGCGAAAATACCCCAACACATAATCCCAAATTCTAGACAATGACAACACACTCATCCAAACCAATCTCTATTCTATCAAAATGTCAAAAATAACTATGAAAAGGAAGCACCACATACTTGTTCAAGCATAGAGTAGGGTTAAAATTGTCTTCACATTGTAACTCGTGGTCCAAGCTTTTGGAAGGAATCTTGAACTGTACACTCCTTTATTGTCTTCAATTGCTGCTGCCCAACCACTAAAGTTCACTACAAATAGCACGATTATTCACCCCCTCCTATTGACCCAGCAAAACCCTAGAAAAAACCGCTACCTCGTTGATCGCCTCCATTGCCGGCGGCGCTCAGTCCCGTTGAAGGACAGGCGGCCAGCCCGAATTCGCCGCCATCTTCCCCTCTTCCCTCGACGAGTGTAGGATTCCGTCTCCGTGCCTCTTCTTCTTCAAATCCTCCTCCGGCGAGACTGGCCTAAAGCTCGTCATTGTCTCCATTTTGCCCGTCGACGACTCCATCTTCTTCTTCGTCGGCTTCGAGGGTTCCCTCGTCGATGGCCAACTTGAATCCTTCGCCGTTCTCATCCCTGCCTCGCGCTCCGCTGGCGGGTCTACCCCTAATGGCTTCTTCTGCGTAATAGACAGTTCGCAGGGGAAGGTGTAATCGCCATCCCTTTCCTTCTTCTCCTCCTTGTTCCTCATTGACGCCGACTCCATCTTCTCCGACAATTTCTTCTTCCACTGATTCGGCGGCATCATCTTCCTCGGCGGCGAGCAGAGCATCCCGCCACCGCGCTCCTTCTTCTTCACCCGGTTTTCCGCCGGGTTCATCCGCGACAATTTCCTCCTTGACGATGTCGTCTCTGTTCCGCATCGGCGATTGTTGCTGTTGCCGAGTTTGGCCAAAACCATTTCCGAGTTCTTGGCCATCCAAGCAGAAGGCAAGTGCGAAGCTGCGTTCGTTGTGGCGCCATCGCCCGCAATCTCCTCTTGACGCAGCGGTGGGTTCTCTTCTTCTTCGCCCTTTGTAATCGGCAACTTTGCCAATGTCGAGCTGAACTCGAGAATTCCGGCAGTCTGGATCCGTCGATCCCGATGGCTGGCAAGAGTAGCTCTCCGTTCGTGGTGGCCGACGCATCGGACAACGTCTTCTCTCCGTCGGACCTAAGCTTTCTCCGGAATCGCCAGTTCTTTACTCGATCTGGTGTTGACACCCTCCCTGCAACTTCAGCCTTGAAGTCTTCTCTGCGGAGGAAAGCCATCTGGTTGAGTGGAACAGCGGCAGGGGCAACAAGATTGCCTTCTTCTTGGGTCACGGCAATGTTAACCACATCAGAGGTTCTGTTCCGTCCCTTGGTCTCCGTCACATCAACTATTGGTGATGATGGTGCATCTTTTGTTGTCAGCGGGGGAGACTCAACAATCGCCAGTTTCATCTCGACCGATGGGGGAATGGCCGGCAATGGTGGTGATGGTAGTGTCGCAGGAGATGCCGCTGTCTCCTCGACTGTCATTGTTGGCTCGGCTGCGGCTTTGGAGGGAGCAGCTTGTGCAATGTTTCCAGGCAGCGATAAGGACGAGGTAACCTTGTTCCTCCGTACCTCTTTCAGCTTCAACTTTAGAATCCTTGTGAGTTCGTTGATCGAGAGCTCTTCGAAGTTGGTCGAAACCATGGTACGAGTGCCACAACCGGGCTCTGATACCAATTGAGAGAACCCCGCTTCTAGGGATTCTCGATACTGATCTTCGGCACTCGTGACAATTAGGGATTTAGGGGGTTGAGAGAAAGAACTAGGGATTTAGATGAGAAAGAATAGAATTGGGAATCGGCCGAGGCCTTGGACTAGGATGAGATGAGAAATTAGGAGTTGAGAGGGTAAACTAGGGTTTAGGAGATTCATTGCTTAATATTGTTCTTGACTGATTATGACGTAAACCCAAAGTACATATTTATAGGGAAATACTGGAAATCCTAATAATAATCCTAATACGACTAAATCTCTACTAACCATAATTATAATTATCCTACCTAATATAATAATGAAATTCCCAAATAAATATATTTCTGACACATACTAGACAAATCTAGAAAATTTGTTAATTTGATGCATTACAGATCGCATCTTGATCGAGCTTTAAATTGACAAGAGTCCATGTACTGAGCACTCAAGTAATGACTATGCAAAGCAACACTTCAACTCCCTTCAACAACATTCACTAAGACACTAACGCAACAACTGCCTGTTGGATTTTAGCAACTAGAATATCAACATATTTCTCGATTTTTTATTAGTGGTTTTTTCTAAGTCATGAATAAAATTTCCTTAATTCATCTTTCTTAATCTAATAACTTTTATTTGTCATAACGCAAATACAATATTCGCATGAAATATACCTTATGTGTTGTACAAATATTATAAGTGTTTTACATTGAAATACATTATAACAGGTGAGTTTGCTCACAAAATATTTATTGGTTTCTAGCCGTACTGGTTGGTTTGATTTAAAATTTGGCTATCGAAATTCAAGTCTATATAAAAAATTTCCGATTTGAAATGATTACACAAATTGCTAATTAATCATAAAATACTTTGTCATTCACTTATTCGATACACCATCCGATACGATTTTACGATCGTTAAACATTTTAAAAAATAAAATTTGTGAACAAAAATAAAAGACAAAAGGTATCGTTGTCTGCTCGTTTGTGTGTGTGGACTGCAAGCTGAGACAGAACCCATGAAGCTGAAAAATAGCAGCCCATACGCCAAAATTCATCATATTTCGGCAGTAAGCACCATTTTAAAGCAGAAGCTTGTCAACTACAGATTTTGCCTTGCCTTCTATGTAATTGATTGCATGTTGATCTAGGCCAATGAAACCAAACTAAAGCCATGGGAGAAGGATTCTTACGCACCTTAGTGGAGTTCTTTTGGTTTAAAGCAGCACAGAGCTCATCCAACATCATCTCACCAGAAACCACGCATTCCAGTTCTGGACTTAACGAATGAATCTTAATGCTGGAATACGAGCGTCCTTTTTATGGTGAGGAGAATGATGATCCAACCAACCACCTAAAAAATACTTCTTATTGGTCTCACACCATGTGATGCGCTAGAAGTCTTTAGGAGCAGTTCTAACTTAAAGCTCTTCACTTTCTATTTCAAAGGAAGAGCAAAGGATTGGCTGCATCCCATCCAGATGGGACCTTTGAAACATGGGGTTCGCTTGAACAAGATTTCCTAGAAGAATATTCTCCAATGAGGAAGGCTGACAAGATAAGGAACCACATTGTAAGATTCAAGGAAGTGAATGCAACACTACATGGTGTTTGGACAGGCTATCATGAGTCATCTTTCACTTATCCACGTCATGGGTTCAGCTTGGAGCAATCGAAGGAGCGCCACGTGCATCCTCCACCAACCAATGCCTTCCTAGCCCAACCGAGTTGCACGACTGTGTTGTTACACGATGCCAAAGGGATAGCAAATTAAGAATGTTGTTTCAATCCAACACTATAAGAAAATAGTGGTTTAGTGTCGGTTATTTTAAATGTTAAAAATTGACACTAAAAATATTTGTATTGGTTCATTGAACCGACTCTAATACTGCTGACATTAAACCAATTCGAGTCGGATTTGGGCAACCGATGGAATAAACCGATCAAATTTGTTTGTGAAAAAATTATTTATGATTTATTTCTATTTTTTCTGTGTTGTTTGGAGCTACAAACGACGAAAAAGCGCTAAAAATAAAAGTAAAAGCACCAATGGATTGTTTCCACCATGCTTTACAGTGAAATCTTTGTAGGGCAGGTGAAAAGATGCGAACCTTTTAGACAAACCAAAATACACATGGCTCCGGAGCCGATTTAAAACAACCTCAAAATTTCTATTAAAACAAATACAACTGAATCATTTTTAAGTGGAATGTCCTAAACACTTAGGCAACGTCAAACCATAGTCAATAAAACAACATAAACTGTGAACCTTGAACATCCAGTATATACTCATAATCATGAAACAGAAAACAACTAAACAAATTCTATCCTTAACTCTTCACTGAGTTCCCACCTCTCGTCCATGCTAGTGCGACTGCTCTCCTTGCCTTGCCTCTTCTCGGAATCCACATTCGCTAACCCTTCCTCAACCTGGTGAGTGAGAAGTGGTCATTCTCGTCGTCACTTCCTAAGGTGTTTGCCCTAGACAGAACCTTACTAACACATTATTAGAAATTACTTCCTCTTACATGAAAGTCGTTCTCGCTTTCATCCTTAACATTTTAGTCTTTAATAGCTTATAGAAGTTCTATACTTCTATCTTAACTTATCTACTCATTACTAGGATCCACCGCATTGTGTATCATCGTCTGGTGTCCCTATCCTTAAGGCAATGGTACTGTGTTACGTATCGTCGTCCAGTCCACGCCCAGTCTACTACTGTGTTATGTATCGTCGTCAAGTAGTGACCCCACCATCTACAACATCCAATAGTGGCCCAACCGCCCGGGGGTTCATCTTACCAACATCCATACATCACAAACACACATACATAGCACAACGCGTGCCTTCACCTTAAGTAGGCGGTGGGATGCATCACACACATTATCGCGCATAACTCGTAAAATTAACGAGACTACTATAAGTAGATGCATAAACTAAAAAACCTCGACGGAGATTTTACCCCCTTTAACGATGGAAGAGGAAATTAAAGTGAACGGCTATTTGCCGCCAACCAAATTGCTATTTGCCGCCAACCAAAAAAAAAAAAATTTTGAATTCAAATTTTGAATTTTCCCTCCCTTCCCTTCCTTTCATTCTATAAATTCGGATACCCATGAACATTTGACTCATTCCAACAAAAACTTCTGTTGACGAGCCCAGTGCCTCCGTCGCCGGCACCGTTCTTCCGTCGTCGGCTAACCTCCCGTCGCCCTCAGCTCGTCGGAAAACAAGTAAGTTTATTTTTTCCGGCCAGTTTTCCGGCCAGTTTTCTAGTTTCCTGGCAAGTTTTCCAGTTTTCCGGCGAAAAACAGGGCGGGCCGAAAAAAAACTGCGGCCAATACGCCGCCAGACCGAAAGAATTTTTCGGCCGGTGCGACGGCCGGGCGAAAAATTCTTTCGGCCAGGCGACGCCGCGGCCGCAAATTTTTTTCGGCCGGTCGCCGACCTCGCCGCCATAAAAATTTCCGGCGGTGTGTTCGTCGGCCGGCCGAAAATAATTTGCGGCCGTGGCGTCGGCCGGCCGAAAAAAATTTGCGGGGGGTGCGTCGTCGGGCCGAAAAACTACCGGCCGAAAAAGTTTTTCGGCCCGACGACGCACCAGCCGCAAATTTTTTTCGGCCGGCCGACGCACCGGCCGCAAACAGTTTTCGGCCCGGCGGAGCACCGGCCGCAAAATTCTTTCGGCCCGGCCAGTTTTTGTATTTAATTTAATTTAATACGATAATTAATTAATAAATAAATACTTAATTAGTTAGTAGAAATTAGCAATTAGTGTTAATATTTATTTAAGTTGGTGTATAAATGTTTTTTTTTGTAATAGGCGTTTGAATGTTTAATTACTTAGATTAGTTAATGAAATTTTAATTAATTAAGAATTGATTTAACAATTAATGTTAATATTCAGTACATTAGTTAATAGAAAATTAATTAATTTGTGATTAATTAACAATTAATGTTAATATTCAGTACATTAGTTAATAGAAAATTAATTAATTTGTGATTAATTAACAATTAATTTTAATAGTACATTAGTTAATAGAAAATTAATTAATTTGTGATTAATTAACAATTAATGTTAATATTACATTAGTTAATAGAAATTTAATTAATTTGTGATTAATTAACAATTGATGTTAATATTACATTAGTTAATAGAAAATTAATTAATTAGTGCGCATCTAAGTATTATATTTTGTAAATTTGTAGATAATTAGATATGGATGATGCGGGTGATGCGGGTGATGCGGGTGGGGATGAGTTGTATAGATTCAATGGTAGGATTGTTGATGCATCAGCACGAAGGAAGAATAAGGAGAATAAGCGCTCTCGAGATATTGGACATCAGTCACAGGCAAATTTAGGGGAGGATGAGTTAGAGGCTCCTACTGTAGTTGCTCGTTCGGCATCACGGGCGTCTGGTTCCCATGGGAGGAACCAGGGTGCTGCATCCAGAGTGGTCTCGGCTGAGTTTGATGAGGACGATAGTGATGAGGATATCGAGGTCCCTCCACCTACGCGTGGACATGGACGAGTGCCGTC